TAAATACAGTTCCTCATGTGACCCAAGCATAAAGTTATTTTCATTGGTACTTCATAACTAATGTTGCTACTGTTATGAGTCGTAATGTAAATATCTGATTTGCAGGATGGTCTTAGGCCCATGTGAAAGGGTCATTTGACCACCAAAGGGGTCGCGACCCACAGGTTTAGAACTGTTTTACCCTTCTGTGATAACTCATTTAACGGTGACCTTTCTGTCGGGTTGGGCAATCCCCATCACAAGTGCCTCACATGTCTCAGTCAAGAGGAAGTGATGGATGGAGGGGGAAATGGGACTGGTAACTTGATTTTTACATTGTTTTCTGGGAAACGTTTTCTTTGGAAATCAGAGAGGGGCTGCATTTCAACTGGTTCTGTAATCATTTGCCAGAACTGTTGGGGTTTGTTGAGGTAGATAAATGGGTCCCCAAGGATCAACACTGAACTCATTCTCCCCACATGATGGTCTTGATTCTGACAACTCCCACTTCGGTGAAGCCAGGGCCAATCATAGTGACAATGACTAAGCGGTTGGGGCTGAGGTGCCTGAGTCAGGTTGTGGGGCAGGGCTATCTTAGTGACAGGAAGTTAAGACTTTCATTTCCTCCTTTTCCAAAAGGAGGCAGGGAATAGGGTAGACTTGGGTGAGCAGCTGATACTGACACTACCAAGAACTCTGGCTGTTCCGCCATGAAGTTTGCTGTGCTTTTCCTGGGGGCCGTGCTGGGACTACTAGCAGGTAAGGACAAAGGGGGTTAAAGGAGAGAGAGCCCGCCCCCCCAGGAAGGAGCCTGTCCCTGGGTTGCTAACGAGTCTTTCTTCCGCTGAAAGCCCAGGGGACTGGGAATGACTGTCCTCATAAGAAATCTGCCACTCTGCTACCATCCTTCACGGTGACACCTACAGCTACAGAAACCACAACAAGCCCTGGAACAACCAGCCACAGAACTACCAGGAGCCATAGAACCACCAGGAGCCACAGAACCACCACCACAAGCACCAGCCATGGACCCACAACAGCCACTCACAATCCTGTCACCACGACGAGCCATGGAAATACCACAGTTCATCCAACGAGCAACAGCACTGCCACCAGCCCAACGGGCAACAGCACTGCCACCAGTCCAGGATCCTTCACCAGTGCACCCCACCCAGGACCACCTACACCCTCTCCAAGTCCTAGCCCAGGCTCCAAGGCAGCTGTAGGAGACTACATTTGGATTAATGGTTCCCTGCCCTGTGTCCATCTCCAAGCCCAGATTCAGATTCGAATTCTGTACCCAACCCAAGGTGGAAGAAAGGTAAAGCTAAAAGGGGTCGGGGGGTAAGACTGGTTCAGAAGGGAAGAAGGAAGAGTGGAGAAGGGGACCAACACAAGGTGGGGTTGAAAAAAAGGTATTTTTTTTTAATATATAATTTAAAAAAATTTTTAAGTTGATTTTAGAGAAGAAGGGAGAGGGAGAGACAGACAGAAACATCAATAATGAAAATCACTGGGGCCGGTGGGTGACGCCGGGAGAGCGCATGGGCAAACTGTACGTCCGTTTGTCCGGAGTGAAAGGTTAAGTTGCTTTTACAGAATTAACAGGTCTCCAAGAAATAATAAAAAGCATAATACCTTCTAGATCTATCCAAGTTGTCACAAACGGCTTTAGAAAAAAAGACCAAAAGCACGAAAGAGAAAAGGGCCAAAGAAGCAATGCAGCTCTAATTGGACAACTTCTGACAAGTTAACCTGTGTCTTGAAACCTAAATAAATAGAAGTGAAAGTGGGAAAAAAAATAATGAAAATCACTCATCGGCTGCCTCCTGCATGCCCCCAACTGGGGATCGAGCCTGCAGCCCAGGCATGTGCCCTTGACCAGAATCGAACCTGGGACTCTTTAGTCTGCAGGCCAACACTCTATCCACTGAGCCAAACCAGCTAGGGCGAAAGAAACGGTATTTTGGATGGCACAGCTGTGTAGCCTATGACTTTCTTTTCTTTAACTTCCACAGGCCTGGGGCATCTCTGTACTGAACCCTAACAAAACCACGCCCCAGGGAGGCTGTGAGGGTGGCCATCCCCACTTGCTTCTCGAATTCCCCTATGGACAGCTCAGCTTTGGATTCAAGCAGGTACCTCATCCCTCATCCCTCACTCTCCAGGTGCCCTTTCCCTATTAATCGCTTCTGCATCCCTCCTCTGTGGACATGAACACCACTCTCCCCCACTGCCCTGAGCTTTCCTGGTCACCTCTGCAGGAACCACTGCAGAGCACTGTGTACCTGAGCTACGTGGCTGTGGAGTACAATGTGTCCTTCCCGCAAGCAACACGTGAGTTAACCTTCCCTTTCTCGTCATGTGCACTAGATGTCTGGGCTCCTCAAGGGACCTAAGCTGGGGGATGGGGTGTGGATGTAGAGCTGATCCTTCCTCACTCTTAGAATGGACATTCTCGGTTCAAAATTCATCCCTTCGAGAACTCCAAGCCCCGTTGGGCCAGAGCTTCAGTTGCAGAAATGCAAGCATCATTCTCTCACCGGCTTTCCACCTCGACCTGCTCTTCCTGAAGCTACAAGCTGCTCGCCTCCCCGCTACAGGGGCCTTTGGGCCAAGTAAGACCGACTTCTTCCCTCCTCACTCTCCCACCGCATTAAGCCCTACTCCAGGCGACTCCCTCCCTTCCCCTACATTACCCATTCTGCCTTCATTTACTGCTCTTGTCATCTAGGCGAGTTTCTCACCAACTGCCTACTTCCTAACATCCCCATGTTCCTTCCTCCCACCTTTATCCCACCACCACCATTGTGATACTTGCCTTGTCTTCCTGCCAGGTTTTTCCTGTCCCAGTGACCAATCCATATTGCTGCCCCTCATCATCGGCCTGATCGCCCTCGGCCTCCTCACCTTGGTGCTTGTTATCTTCTGCATCTCCCGGAGACGCGCACCCGCCTACCAGCCGCTCTGAGCCTTTGTCCCAACGCCCAGGGCACCACTCAACTGACTCGGAGACAAAGTTATCTTCCTTCCCTCTCTGTCTTGAAGAAGAAAATCAAAGATAACGCCACTGGGAGAACCGAAGGGAGGTGATTATTAAATATGACATTCCCCCTCTCCATCCCCCAATGGGAGAATAGTAAAGCCTACTTAAATCTTTGTCTTTGGTCTTCCTTGTCCTTCCTGCCAGGATTAAAAGCCGTGAGTTTCTTGCCATAATGCTTTCTATGCCTTACATGGCTGAGTCTAAGGGAGCTGGTGAGGAGGGGTGAAAATGTCAACGTGCAGCCAAATATCCTCATGGGTTCATCCCCCAAAGCCTGGTGCAGCTGGTGTTGAGTCTGCTCATCTCCCTTCCTCATTCTGGGGCCCTGGCCCCAGCTCCTCCTCTCCAATCCGGTAGTCACCCATCCTGGAGGCCTTCTTTCTGACCCTTACATGCAATTACAGGTGAAGCAGGCAGCAATAGCAGTGAGTGTGGGTGGGAAGGTCACACCTGTGTCATTTTGTTTCCAAAGGATGTGCTAGTGGCTCCTTAGCAACCAGAATGCCTGCCCTGCCCACCTTGTTGATGAAACCCTTACTGCACCTAGGATGCTAGCAAAGGGTGTCATCAACAATGGGAGCAGTGGGTACAGAGCCTCCACATACCATTAACCTCTGTGCTCCTGGGAACAACATCCCTCTAGCCGGGCCACCCAGGGAGCCAACCCTGGTGTTCCACGTGATGGTGTGCTTAGTGGTGGTGGGTGGCAGCCCCAGGGCAGCCAGAGTCTACAAAAGGGCCTGCCAGGCAGCCTGCACCATCACTGAGTGCCACTCCCTTCACAGTGCAATTGCTGGGGGCCAGAATAGGACCCTCACGCTACAGAAAGTAGCCCCTAGGACCTAGTGACCCACCCCATTGTGGGCGGCCCCCACGTGGCAGCGTCCCAACAGCCCCACCATGGCCTCACAGACATCCCCTACTGCCCTGCAGACTGTGGCATGAGAGTCACTGAAGGGGCTGCAAGACAGTGTGGTTGGTGCTAGTAGCCGAGCATGGCCAGTCCCACCACCGGGATGGCCAAAAGCAGTGGTTCTCAACCTTGGCTGCACGTTAGAATGACCTGGGAATCTTTTTAAAATCCTGATTTCTGGGCCTCATCCTCCGGAAATTCTGTTTCTTTGTTATGGGGCGGGGCCACAACATTAGTAACAAAGAAACAGCATTTCCGGAGGATGAGGCCCAGAAATCAGGATTTTAAAAAGATTCCCAGGTGATTCTAATGTGCAGCCAAGGTTGAGAACCACTGGCCAAGAGTTAGTGTCCCAATGCTGGGTGGCCGCGGGCATCATCCCACCAGTTGTCCAAGGTGCCGTTTCCCCAACAGGAGCTGCTGGGCCGTTGAGCCTGGCTTCAGCCCTTCCTCGGGATGTGGTCACAAAAGGCCAGCGCGGTGGAGGGGAACTCGCAGGGCCCCGCCGGGGCTTCAGGGAACCGGCCAGGGCTGGGCTCCGCAGGGGGCAGGGTGCCATTCCCTGAACATGGTCTCGTCTGCCCCACCTCCGCCTCCCGCTTCCCTGTCCCGGGCCAGCAGCGGCTGGCGCACCCATTCGCCCAGGCCCGGGTTCACAAGGTGGGAGAGAGGCTCCCGCCAGTGCCGTTCCCACTGGAGACGCCGAGAGAACTAAAGTGAGAGAAGGCACAGCGCCCCCATCCAACGCCATTTTGGAGACTCGGCTCCTCTCTTCAATTTTGAACAGTCGAGTCAGCAGAGAGAAGAGAAGATGGCGCCGAGCGGGAGAAGCGGTGAAAAGCAGGACGATAAATCCTGCTTCCAAACTGGAAGAGTAAACAACGGTGCGAAACAAGGAAGTGCGCAGGCGTACAGCTTTCGCTGCTTTAAAACTCAAACAGCAGGGAGGGTGGGCCCACACCGTGGTCGCGGGACGAGACCTATTTTACGCTGAGAAGGAGCGGAGCAGAGCGGCCGGGCGGCTCGGTCGCAGGAGGCGGAAGTCCACGGCGCGCATGCGCACCGCAGGTCACTGAGGCTCCGAAGGAACTGGCGGAAACGACCTTTACAAGATGGCGGCCGAGGCGGACGGGCTGCTCAAACGGGTGCTGGTGCCGCTTCTTTTACCTGAGAAATGCTACGACCAATTTTTCGTCCAGTGGGATTTGCTTCACGGTGAGTCTTGTTCGGCATCTGGTCAAAGTCCTGCTGGAGCGCCAAAGTGGGGCGTGACTGCGGATAAGTGATGGCGGTGACCACTGCATGGCTCGCTGGGCGGAAATTACTGCGGAGAGGGGCGGAAGTGTCTCGGACTCCGTACAGAGAGTGCGCCATTTTGGGGTGGGAGAAGCG